CTTCCTTGACATGCTTCACGTTTTGAAATTTCCTTTTGATCTCTTCATAGCTCGTTAGCTCAACTATAAACACCTGTGTAATGGATACACATTTTGTTAATTATAAATACTAATGTATTTTCAATAGCTTCCATGTGACCTACTAACTCCCATCTTTAACATATAGTATTACTAAACTGAACCAGAGACTTATTTTTTATTGTATTTTTTACAAATGAAACCCTGTGGGAACTAACCATCCTCTGGCTGCAGTGGTCTGTGAAACTACAGAGGGAATGTCTGTGAGATATTCAATCTAACTTCACTGTTCGCTGTATCACGGTCAGAGGAGGGCAGCCCTCATCCATGTACCCTCATCTGGCAGCCTGACCTCAACTACTTCCTCTGCTGCAGACCCTCATTTATTCCATGCTGGACCAGCTGGAGCCCCCTTCAGAAACTGCATAAAGAGATGATGAATGCAGACTTCATTAAGCAGGCGTTAACAGCATGTTGATGATCTTGTCATAAAGACATTACACACCACAAACAGACACTGTATTGCTGAACCATGTTGTTTAGAAAATGTGGCCATGGATTAATTAAATAGAAAAAACAGTAAAAGTTCTCATTCATTTATTTATTCAAAATTTCAGAAAAAAAAAGAAAATACAAGAAATTCTCAGATACACATTTGGAGATGGCATGTCAAAAATACCCCATCTCAGTTATAGGTGTGAAAAAACCTTGAGGCCTCAGATACAGAGCTTGAAAAAAGACAGTCTGGTGACGTTTTTTGATTATTTTTTCCCCCGATCAGGTAATGAACAAAGATTTAGTGAAAGTATTGTAATAAAATAAGAGCATTAAACCAAGGCCCCCTCAGAAGGTATAGGAATGCAAATCATAAAAAAAGAGGCATGATAATGATAACCCTCAAACTTATTATTGCAGTTTGAATGCACCTATGCATCCTTCATAAACCTCAGGTTTACATGAAGAACATTCAGGAGAATGAAAGTTAAAGTTTATTAATGTTTTTTTTTTAGCTTCTGTATGTTTACATTGAAATCTGGTAATGCAAAAAAGCAGCTAGTATGAAGCTGTAAACTAAGGCCTATCCTAACTTCCTAATCCTATTGTTTACTCTGTACCATTACTACCCGTAATCTACACAAACTCCCTGTTCTTTACACGTCCACTTGTATATTTAAATGCTGTAGTTATGATCTAATCGTAACTATTTATTTAACAGTAATTCATCACACGCCAGGTCAATGTAATGCCTACTCCCAGAACTGAAACGTTTGTATTTTATCATTACATAAATCTGAATGGAAAGAACATAAATGCACAGATATGTTAAGTAACTACACAAGCTGCCTGCTTGCAAGTGGTGATATCAGTACCAAAGTGATATTCAGCAGCAATCAGAAATATGGTTCACTTCTTGATTCACTTCAATCATGCACAGATATAGTGCTCAATAACAACTTAGAAGAACAATTCAATTGTATTGCTTTTGGGTCATATTTTCAGCCTGAATCTTCAATTGTCTCAAGCCCATAGCCCTTGCACCGAGACACCATTCTCCATGTGAGAGGAAGCAGAGCTGAAGTTTTAATGAGAAGTTTTGAGATGTAAAAGCTTCTTTGCCACCATCACACTCAACATTTTTAATGACAATATAAGATCCACTGAGTTGTTTTAAACAGCAGCATTAGTGTTAGTAGCACTACAAATAGTTCTGAAAAGGCGTGTTGAGTTTACTTCCTAACGATAGAAAAAACACAAGACGTAGAAATGATCTATCTCCAGAGCAGATATAGTTGGACAGGGGAAGTGATGGTGTTAGTAAACAGAGTTCAGGGGGGGGGCGGGGCATGATATGTACTGATAAATGATTGAAATTGTACATTGATTTAGAAATGAAGGAACAAACGTGTATGTTGCTGCCATCTCTACAAAGGTGGTTTTGCGTACAGGAAAGTTCCTCGTTACATTCAGAGCACTGCGGCATATACATAACCAAATATACGTTTTAAAATTGTAATCTGGATGTTTAGGAGGTGCTGTAACCTTGCAGCATTTCATGCTACAGGTAAACAGCAAATGTGTTTTTCGTGGAAGTCAATAAAACATTTTTTCCCTTTTAAAATATTCCACATAATAACTGTTCTGACTATTATATAAATGCATTTTAGATTTGTCTTATGAGGATTTAAGGTTGTAAAAATATGTTGTGAGTCAGTGGAGTTGGGATATCGGATGTTGAAGTTGTGCCCCGGTCTCTTGTCTTATCATACTGCCCCTCCTGTAAGCCTTTTATAAACTGTATCCAGTCAAATTAAATTATAAGGTTCACATATATGTTTCTCACCTTAATAACGAACATTAGTTTAAACTGATTCTGTCTCCTCCACTTTGTATTCTAAGAGATATTAAAAAAACATTGGGACAGAAATCAGTGGGCTGATCTTCCAACACAGATATTCCAGCTCCTGTCCTAGTCCGCTTTGTGAGGTTTATCTTGATGAAGTTTCTATACGAACTAATGGGTGAGATGTACTTGTTTTCCATACACATATTTAAAAAGAGTGAGGTAGATATATAATTGAAGGAAAGAAAAACAAAAAACGTTTAAAGTCCCCCAGTCATGACACCAAAGAAAATACATACAAAAAAGTCCAACTTTATACTGAATCATGGGGCATGTATACAGTGATTTAAACTGATATCACAAAAGGAGAATAAAAAATAAATAAATAACACTACTACAGAAAGAAAGAAAAAAACTTCAGAGAGAGGGAAAAAACATCACCAGGCAACATTTCCAAAAGATTAGGAGAAATCCTTCAAAACACTTTCACTATCCAGCCTCTATTTTAAGACCTTTTTCCATTCATGACATTGAAATGTGTTCCCTTCCCTGGACTTTAACCCATCCTTTATTTGGTTTTCAGAAGCAGTGATTATGAAGACAAACAAATAAAGACATGATCTCACCTTGAAGACATTAGCAGAAGTGGCGTTATATTGCCCTTGATAATAAAGAAAAATGAAAAAAGTACCGGGTTTTGAATGGTTGAGAGATGACGACAAGACAACCCAATTAGCCCTATTGATTTAAGAAGAGGCAAGAGATGGATGGGTTAAAATACCAGATCTGGTGTAAAGTAAATATCTGGTACACTGACTTCAACAGGAGGCACCGGGAGAGAAACAGGTACAGTATGTTGTAGAGGTCAGGGAGGTGCCAGTCCGGGGGGGGGGGGGGGGGGGGGGGGGGAGGGGAGAGGGCACTACCGGACTCAACAAAACATGATGTGGGAGAAAAGGGGGAGGTAAAAGCTGAAACAAGTAGAGGACGATCATGGAGTGTGTGGAGAAAGCAAAGCCTTTACTTTGACCTGAGATTGAGTTGCACCTAGAGGGCATTGCTAGACAACAAGTACATAAAGGGTGCCGAAAGTTCACACTCACACATCGAGCTAAGGTGTCCATTCCAAATAATAATATTAATAATAATAATAATAATAATAACATAGACATCCACAAAACAAATACAAGAGGAAAGATTTCATAAAAAATAAAAAGGCAATGAACAAAATATAGTGTTACAGAGAACCTTTCGGGGTAACAGAAGAACAAATGCTCTTGTACCTAAGTCATCTTATTTTTTGTTATTTTCTAGTTTTTTTTTTAAACAGACTTTGAAGATATAAGAAATGGACTGTAGTGGAGACCATAAAATACCAAACCTGAAGGATTTCCTTATATATGTATATGTGTATATATATATATATATATATATATATACATATATACACACACACATCCAAAAGAGAAAAAGAATAAAATAGCAGCTTTGTTCTGTACAGACATAGAGGCAAACATTTTGAACCGTAAAAAGGTTTTAAAAAAGTGACAAAACCAATGATGTGTATAAAAAATGATCCTTCAGTCTAAAATACAACCGTAAGACCTTTATATGTGTTTGAAATGTAGAGAAACTAATGACTATTCTAAAAGAGACCTGCTGTGATTTAAAAGTCGTCTCTAGGGTACTAAAATCTCATCCTTCTCTGTTCCGTCTCAGGGCTTTCACGCTGTCTGTTTTGGTGTATTTGGTGCCATTTCATTGAACAGCAGTATCAGAGAGAGCGATGTTGACCTCCCACATGAACTGCAAAGTCAGATACGTTTGAAAAAATGAAAATGGAGGCAGAGTTGTATCCCTTGATTCTGAAATGCATTGATTTGCAGTGAGAGACTTATAATGCTTTGTTCAGATTAAGATTGGAATTAAAACAAAGGCAGATTAATGCTGTAATTCAGAGTTGGCTGACTCGAGTCAAGTGTTCTTCCCCTCAGAAGTGATGAAGAGGGGGGATTTCCTTCGGTTTAGTAAGATATGAATGAACTTGCAACAGTGGTGCAACAGAGCGTTTTGGTTAGCAAAAGCATGCTGGCATTTAAATATAGGTAAATGAAAATAAATGGCTAGGGCTAATATCAATTCATTTGCCAATTGCTTGTAAAATACTCAATGATATCAAGTTTGCTGTAGCATGACACAACAGTCCTCACACATGAGGAACTGGAGGACAAAGATGCAGATGTTCTGACAATTTACTAATTGTTTCAACTCAATGAAAATATAACGATTATTAAATCCAAACAACAGTCTCACTGATGTGGTATGTTAAAGGTCACCTATAATGCGAAATCCACTTTTCCATGTCTTTTATACATAAATATGTGTCCCCTCTGTGTTAAGAGAGAAGGTTTCAGGAACAAATATTATCTCTCTTTTTGTCCTGATCCATATAAAAACCTGTCTGAAAAAGAGCTGATCTGATTTTGGCCACTTTATGATGTCACAAATGTGGTTCTGTGGCCAATAACCAACCAAGGTAATACCTGCCACCTTATCGCCTGAATCTCCTCCTAGAGCAACATTGTGTTTTTTTAAACCAAACATCTCTCAGAGGGGCGTGGCCAGCAGCAGCTCATGCACATTTAAAGCTACAGACACAGAATCAGCACTTTTGAAACAGGCCTGAATCAGAGGGGATTATGGGATGCTACAATGCAGGATCTCTTAGGGATTTAGAGCCAAACCCTTCAGAGACATGTTTTGTATATATCTGAGACCCATAATATATTGTTGAAAAAGAGTATCATAGGGGACCTTTAATTGATTAGAAAAACATATCTTTAAAGACTGTGCTTGCATTTCTAATCCTGTATGCAACAGTCCTGCTTTTATGCTGGTCTCTCCATGTGTAAGCAATTCACTTGTCAACATGTCCCAAGTATCACAAGGCTAACACTGTCCTCTGTCCAGGGATAAGACACACAGACTGCTGCTCCAGGATCAGCTCGTGTCAAAGATCAGGTCTGAATACCACCAAAAAATGTTGGGTTTTTTCTAGACAATATTATCTCAACTCTGAATCACAGCCTTAAACCAGAAAGGAGACCTATATGAAACCGAAGAAAGGAAGTCAAATTGATTTGGCAATAGTTTGGCAGATACACAACAGGCCCTCCTCTTCCATTTTGACCCGCTTCTGATGGGATCATAGACATATCATAAGAAAATGAAACAATGACCTTAGTCAAAACTGTCTAATTGAGGCATCCTCACATCACATGAGCCGGTCTGCTCATGCAAACAAAAGTCATTTTGATGGAAAGTCATTTAGAAATGGAGCTTTGTCAAATAATAGAGAGAATCACGTGTTTTGTATAAATACACTCTCTGATATCCACAATATCCTCTCTGAAATCATCAGGAAAAAAGTGCTCTTCTGTTGGATTTGCTGGCAGATATGCTAAAAAAAGGTTGTCTTTAAGTTCATGTCTAAATCTGTCAGGACACATGCCTGCATTGGTTCCTTCTTGAAGGACCGACATACAGGCGGGCACAGGAAGGAGTTCCAGTGTCGAGTCTGACACACCAAACTCCAAATGCTTTTGCAGGTTTCTGTACTCATTCACTGTTTTTACAGTTTATGTTTGACCTTAAAGGATTGGAGAGATCATCTACTGGCACACAGTAGAAGAAAGTCATTTCTTACCTCATCCATATCTCCAAGAGAAATGGATGAGAGGCTTGTGTTACCCTGTGTAAGAGGAGGAGGGGGGGGGGGGGGGGGGCTTGTCTGATATCAGCAGGCCGACGACTGGGGCAGTGGTAACGCCCGCTCGTTCTTTCTGCCCCCATTCATGTGTGCATAGGGTTGCAACTCGTCAAAGTTAGGCCGAAGTACCACCACGGGTCCGTTGGCCGATACATGTCCTGAGTGCTTGTCCAAGGCCTGGCCTGGAGACGCCAAGGCTGAGGCCCCTGGTCCCGGGGGGGAGGGAGACACGGCTCCCAGGTGCGGAGTACTTGGGCCTTGCATTGGGGATAACTGCTGGGTAGAGGGGGGCGGCGTCCCTCCCGTCCCCCCCGACGAGGGGGCGGCAGCAGCACAGGGCTGCCTGGTGGAAGCAGGGTCCAGTGGAATGTTCTCCATGTTTTCTACCGCCATGTCCAGCTCCTCGGTGTCCGGCGGCTTGTTCTCCTCGCTGAAGAAGAAGCTCATTTCCCTGAAGGGAGGCTCCAGGTCCTCTTTGATGCTGTTGATGATCTCCAGGAAGGACGGACGCATCTTGGGGTTATACTGCCAGCACATCCTCATCAACTCAAACCTGCAAGTGAGGTACAACAATATAAAAAGGGTCAGTAATGTACATGTATGGTATGTTTTAAGGCTTTCTGTTTTTTAAGTCGAATGCATTACACAAGTATGTTTTGTACTAAGGGATTTTGTACTAAAAAGACCATCCTGTGGCCTGCAGTCTTAAAATAGCCTCATTGAAGCATCGCCTGAACAAATGATAATGTGAATTTTCTCCCCCATCTCAGTGTATAATTGGGATGCTTCAGAGCCAGTAATGTTTCAATGTACACATGGGCATGTGAGTAGTAGTGCGGTTAAGACTGAAAACCTTAGAGTGGGAATACTTTACATTTCTCACCAGCAGGTGGCAGGAGACACTGACGTTAAAAAGGCCCTTTTAATACTTTCTTGCAGTTCAGTATTGAGCTTGTAAAACAAAAGAATATGTAGACAGTACAATAATATAGTACTGTAATCTACATTAATGTACTGAACTGCTGTTCACTAGAATACAACTTCAATAAATGTTAGACCAGAGGCTTTTATTATTTTTGATAACGTTTTTTGTGCCTTTGAAAACACAAAAACAGACCCAAAATACATTTAAAAGAAGGTAACATATGCATAAAAAGGGCAGAGATTGGGTGTGAATGTTATATACTGTATAAACCTTTAGCCCAAGGGCTAACAGCTCTTACAAACTAAAAGGATTGTGTGAAATCATTTACACCTGCCCTTATCTATTGAACCTTCTGATTATTTCATTCAGGTTTGTTGTTGACAGTAGTCTTAGTTAACATGTCAGCTCAAATAAGATATTTCAAGTTTGGATTTGTTTTATTTGTTGCTACATTACAACACATACAGTAGGATCTGTAATGTAGCATGTACTCAGCAGCACAGTAAATCATACGTCAGGTCTGTGCCAGGCCAGCAGCCGAGCTTTGGGAATGTCAAAACAACATCATAAAAGGGAGAATTATTACAGTTTTGTGTGGCGCTACACCACACACCACAACTTCAATTATACACAAACAAGCTAAGAATACTCTCGAAGGCCCGCTGACATAAACACCTCAGTCATCTCCCCTCCGCTCTTGCTTTTCCCTCTCTTCTCTCTCCCTCCCTCTCTCTCTCTCTCTGCAAATGGGTGCCAGGATTATGGGTCGAGCTGTTCCTAAGCACGAGCCTCGCTTCGTACTCTGAAGCAACGGGGGGTGGGGGGGGGTGGGGGGCAGGGGGGCAGCCTTGGCTTGTTTTTCAGCAGCACAGCAAGTGTCTTAAAGTTGACGTTCAAATGTCCAAACCCAGGCAGTAAAGACCTCCCATTAAAGACGTGTAATGCTTGGAGCAGGGCCGGCACTCCGGGGGGACGCGTCTGCATACTCCTGCCTGCTCAAAACTCTTTCCCCACCATCTGTTGCTGCACACCAGGCTTGTTGATGCACATTTAGAAAACAAACACTGCAGTAAATCCTGACTTCTTGTCAGCATTCTGCCAATCATAGACCACACACACACACACATGCTATTACTGTTCAATTAAAGGCACTAATATTTGACAAGTGACATTAGCCCCATATGCTACAGTAAGCTCACAGTTGTACATAAGCTGTATAAGTACTTGTTCCTCAGCTGGCATAAAATATCTCCTTAAGGTAGAACAACAACTTCAATTTCTTGTGTGTTTTTTCACATCAGTTGTGATTGTTTCCCTGTTATTTAAATCTAGTTAATTGAATACTATTTTAACAAACAACATGTGCCGCATATTTAATGTTTTACTGACAGAGATTTAACATGTAAGCTTCCTTTGTGACCAACATGGCTTCCTCAGCGCTCTGCTCTCTAATATAATATTTTTCTGTTCTTTGTTTCGTTTAGGTTGATATCTTTGTAGAGCAGAGTGTGTAATGAGTGAAAGCTTAAAGGTGGGGTATGTCATTTTGGAGAAACCAGCTCGAGTGCGCTAGAATTTAAAACTACGCAGCCGGAAAAAATCTGCCTCTTCCTTCAGACTTCCTTACAGAGCCCCTCCTCCAACACACACGAACGCGCACATGACCAATGAGGGCACGAGATAAGTTTGTGCACAGATGGAAGGCTGACAGGCAGGTAGGCCATCCAGTTATTTTAGCCGGGCCGGCTCAGATGATTGGTCGTGCTTTTTACAGTACTACGGCTTCCACAGATGAATTATTTTAATGTATTTATTGTCAAAGCATTTAATATATTCATTGCTATCGGGATGTTAAGAGCATTCCATGGAATATAACAAAAAGTGTTTCTGAAATAAATGACATACCCCACCTTTAATGTATAAACTCTAAATAAATAAACTATTTGGTGGCAATCCGCCCTTTATAAAAGATTATGCACTAGTCTAGACACAGCAAACATTTAGCCACACAACATCTTTTACAAAAAGAACCGTGAGACACTTTCAGGCCAAGTGTGAATGCCGAACAACGTCCTCCAACATCTATGGTAAATGTTCAATAAGCCTGAATGGGAACATGCAACAGCGCTGCAAACATGACACATGAAACATCCCCAGTGTGGTGAAACCTTGATGTATAATAGCCCTGCGAGTGATACTGCGCAAATTCCACCATAAATCATGTTGTTTAATGTAATCGCAGAGTCTGTGTTTCATTTCAGACCAGCCCTGTGAGATAGAATGCACGTTTTGTCTACAGGAAACTCTAGACAGGAACATGGGAAATCAAATCAGTGACCCACAGCTACCTGACCATGGGAAAGCCGAAACAAGAAGGAGGCATTCAAGGCTCTCCAAATATGACTCATTCCCCTTGTCTGTTGTCCGGCCTGCTTTCTCTTGTTGTATCTTTCTATTCAGTCTTTGTATAGACTCCTGGCTTCACTGCACTTCAGCAGTCTTCTGGAAATCTCCATTAAGTCACTACACTACAGGCGACCAGCGGCAAAAAGTCTGACTTTCCCGTGTTTTGCCCCCCCCCCCCCCCCCTTCACCACCACCTCTGTAACACAATCCACACGTTCCTGTAACCGGGACAAAACAGTCAGGCTTCCATAGAAACGAGAGGTTTGTGTCTGCACAACACTCGGCCCTCTTGTTTTTTTTCGACCAGCGCTCTTTCTAAGGTGAGATCAGCCATAAAGAGTGTGGGGGGGGGGGGGGGGGAGCAGAATGCCTTCTTATTGAGGTCAGAGAGGGAGAGCAGAGATGCATACATGCAGCACCGCATGCTGACACGCAGGCTGTGCTGTCTCTTCTCTTACAGCTGGGTGATTCATTATCGAATTATAAATGAATCAATGACTTCCTTCTCTGTCTATCCCACTCCCTTTGCTGATGGATAGACAGGAATGAGGGGCATCTCTCACTCCCGGATCCCAGCCTCCCTTCTATGGGCCGGAGCTGATGGGTGAGGAGGGCTCTGGCTGTCAGCCAGCGGGGCCATGCTGTCAACGCACCACATTTAACTTGTGACGTTAATGTCAGCCTCATCTTGGCTCTACCTAAGCATACACACCACATGATATTCGAAACACTTCAAACCACAACTTAAAATAGACCCCAGGCAAAATATTAGTGACACTGAATGCTGTGCGGGGCGGTGGAGGATAAAAAAACAATACCGTCCGTCAAGGGTGTTGAAACAGAAACCCGAAAGGCCTTAGATGTTTGATATTATCACATAAATGTAATGTATTATTATTATGACTATTATATGACAGAGACTTACAGCATGTCAGGGCAGTTGTCAGGTTTGTCCAAGAGTTCTCCCTCCATGACGAAACGCAGCACTTGTTCGTTGGACATGCCCTGGTAAGGCTGTTCTGCTAAGGTGGCGATCTCCCACAGCACAACACCAAATGACCTGCGGAAAGAAATGATACAACAAGAGTGAAGTCGATTTAGGAGCACAGCAACCATACTGAAGAAACCATGTATTTGGTATTATAGGACATTCAAACCTCCTTTTTGTTGTTGTTTGTAATTATCCCTAAATAAGCATTTAAAGCACAAAACAAGTGTTTTTGAATTCTCGTTTTCTAGAAAGTGTCTATTACAACAAATGTATTGCATATAATAAAGCATTATTGATAGATGCGTATTATCAAAAACGCTGCGCTCCCTTTATTGAGGAGGTATCTTCAAAACATTAATCGGGAAATTAATTAATTTATTGAAATGTATCCAGTAAAGAGGGCTAAAACATCATCAACCAGGGCATGATTGTGCAGAATGATGTGGTTTCTTAAATTTCTCTCATAATACAAATTATGAACAATGTACAACCATCTTTCAAAGTCAACTTTTTAATTGTGTTTTTCCACTTTTCAGGCAGCCAGTGGTTTTGCACAAAAACAACCCAGCTAATTTGCGTTCATGAGGTAAAACAATAACAGTGGATATAATACCTGCATTTTGTCAGTATATTCTATATTATAGGTGTAGTGTGGCGATGCGACTTTAAGTGAGTGAGGACTACATTTGTGTGATTTGCAGTTAATTATCTTGTAAAAAGCAAAAACAAGCACAATATATATTTGCTTAAAAATAACTGTATGCACCTCTAGCTGCACGTATCAATATTTTAAACTAACAACCGGTCAAATTACTATATGTAGTGTGAGAGGTGAGGCTTGTGGCGACAGACCTCACAGAATCATCTGACTGCAGTTCTGATCTTTGTAAGGTGATATTATGCCGGTGTTGTGTTTACAGCTTGCTCCTCTGCCCTTTCTAAATAGTATTCATAACATAGGTGCAATATTAAGCTTGTTATAGATGTCTGGTCCTAAATGGCCGAAAATTGTGATGAAGTAGCTTTAAACACTGAAAATACATGCATTATCTCTAGAGTATAGTGCCTAGTAGTCGGGCCAGAGTAACCTGACGACAGTCACTGAGCAGCAGATGTTAGAGAAGTTTATGCGGCAGCACAAGTTAAACCTAAAACCTGGTGGTGTTTAAGTATTAAGAGTAATGTAAACGGCGTATCAGTGTAGCAGTCTGTGAACCACAGTGATGTCATTCCTGCAGGACCAGCCTCAGTATGAAGTGTTTACAGTTCTCAGTTTAACCTCAAGCTACCTTGCTGTGAAACTAATCATGAAGAAAATGTTTAACCTCACTAACAAAGAACCCAATATTTGTTCACTCTTGCTAAGCATAATATAACAACTGGCACGAGTTCAGAGAGTCCATTCAACAGTCTTTTAAACAGCCTTATTACAACACTGCATACAAGTGGCTGAAACAGTCTTGTGCTGACAGACGAAGCCACATTCAGACAGCTTCTCCCGATCAACAAAATAAAAGTCACCTACTTGTGGATTCCTGAGGAGCCCATAATGGGCTCTTCTTACGCTAAACTTCATCTGTGCAACATCAAAGAGGAAGATGGAGAACGCAAATGTGGAGGTGGGTTTGTGCTGGCACTGCAACCTCTCATTTCAGAACATCTGGAGCAGTTTAGGCCCACTCTCAGGGACTGACCCGTGGGACAGTTTGAGTTGGGAAACAAAAACTTGCAAGGGAGCTAGTAAACACATCTCTGCATAAGAAAAATACAAAGTGAGAACCGTAAACTCAGATTTCACTGCAAGTTGGCATAAAACAAGGTGTCAGTAAAAAGAAAGACGATTTTTCTTGACATCCTCACAGAGAGAGGAATTTCCGGAGAGCCAGCAGGAAACCAAAAGATTGTGATGGTTTTTGGAATTGGAATGTTGTTAGGAATACGGGCCGTGAAGTTATATATATTTTTATAGTTTTGACTCTACAGCATGGATTAGTTTAGCGCAGGGATCGGCAACCTTTTTGATAAGAAGTGCCATTCAAAAAGAATTATTTTATCAGCGTGCCGGGGGGGGGGGTGAGGAGCTCGACGCTCATGAACTGTCAACAGGAGGGCGGGGGGAGCCTCGCTGCGGGGAAGCAGTGTGTGGACCTGTCAGCGCAACTTACATTAGGGACGCTCCGATCGCCAATTTTGGGAAATCAGTATCGGCCGATACCGATCGCCGATCCGATCGAGTGGGCGGGGCCTATGGGGATCTTCCATTTAAAGTGATGTTTAAAACTCAGTTAATGGGGCTCATTCACTGGCGCTTCCACAAACAACAACCAACATAATTATTACATTCAAATGAATTACATTATTCAAGTTTACATTAACTTGGGATAATAACACGGGAGAAATGAGCGGATAAGCGCTCTCTTTTCCTCTCTCCCCCTCTCTCTCTCTCCTGACAGCCTGTCAGTATCTCCTGCAGCTCACTGATCCAGTAATGAGTGACCCGACAGTGAAGAATAAATATATTTATAACTAGTTTAGCTTGTTCCAGAGGTAGATAAAATAGCCAAGTGTGTTAGGTCTAACTCTTGTGTGTTTTGCTCCGCTCACCGGTCCGTCACAGCGGGTGGAGCTGCAGGATTTCTGCTTCACACACACGTTGCAAACCGCTATTTTATTGTCATTTACGGACACCTTAAAATACTGACAGACTGGTGAAGCCATTTTGGCGAGCTTGTTTTCCCGCGCACAGAGAAAAGTGTCGTGTATTTTACGTCATGCGATCTGCTCTCGCGATCGGCATTTTTAGAGAGCAACGATCGATCGGCGGCCGATCGATCAGAGCATCCCTAACTTACATGATGCCGAATTTAACAAACAAATTTAAATAATTGGTTTAAACGGCATAATAATAAGGACGATCGTCCGTTCTGTGATACTCCAGAACACACATGGCCAGTCCGTCCCTGTGTAGCATGTTATTTCGATGAGAGATGAGCAGATCGCCACTGGGCTTTCAACCAAAGACACAGCCACGCAAAAACTGCGGCATTTGTACAGCTCCTTGTGGGTACTGCAATTTGTGAAGTGCTTTCCTCTGTGGTGAAACGATCAGCACTGCACTACGGAGGAAAGCGGCAGAAAGTCGCCTGGAGTTAAAGAGAGCGGGGCTGCGTTGCGTGCATGGCTTCCTTCTGCAGGTAACGGGGAGACGCGCTCTGGCGGCGGTCTCGTTCAGGATCCGAAAATAAAATTTAAATATTTTGCACACTTATTCCACTTATTCCTAGAGTGCCACTGGTTACGGTGCCGCGTGCCACCATTGGTTCCTTTAGGGGTTGCCGACCCCTGGTTTAACGTAACCCATCCAACCAAACAAATATGTAGACCTGAATTCATTGATAGGTGGACGATGTTTCTATTTGGAGAATAGATTATTGGAGTTTATTCGATTTTGACTATCTTATCTTTTGCATTTATTATAGAGGTGGACACATAGACTGGAGAGAAAGAGGGAAAGGGATGACACGCAGCAAATGTCCGAAGGTTAGGACTCGAACCCAAGCCGCTGCAGTTTATTGCTTATATATAGCGTTTCTGGTTTAGTGGGATATAGGAAGGAAAGAAAAAAGGTTTTTAAACCAAATGCTAAGGTATGTTGATATAATGTATGATACAATTGATTGAGCCTGTTAAGATGTGAAATTATCAGAAAGGAAGAAAAAGAGAAACTCAAGCTATACTTTCTTTTGTTTTTTTCCAAAATGAAGAATTTCAAAAGCCCTTGTTTTTTTAAATTAGAAAATAAGATTGATTGATTTATTATCAGAGTATGCTACTTATTATTTGTATTGCCTACAGTTCAGTATCATCATTGATATTGTTAAAATGTTATTGAGTTGTACTCTATTTGATTTGACATTCAGTTGTTGAGTACATACAGACGTTGGTATAACAACTGGCTTATATGGGACACTGAATGATCATAATTCAGATTTTCCAGACCTCTGCACAAGGACATTCTGTAACTGGACAATTTTAATTGAACACTCTTGATGTAGAAACATCTGGAATACTTTGTGAGCCTCCTATAATACGGCAGGTTTCTACATGCATTACGCAGGCTTGTGAGTGTGTGCTCTCATACCAGACATCAGCCATCGTAGTGAACACGCCATCTTTCAGAGACTCTGGAGACATCCAGCGGACAGGCAGCAGGCCCTTCCCTCCTTTACGGTAGTAATCCGTCTCATAAATATCTCTGGTCATGCCAAAATCTGAAGGAGAAAAAAAAAAGGAATCACAGGTTGGGGAAACAAGTAATATCAATCACTCTGTGTGGGAGAAGAAGCTCCTGAGAGCTCATCCATTCCCTCACCTTCTCCCTCCTTCTGTCCATCTACATTAAGACTCCACGGCCTCAGGCACTCACTGAAATCCAAACACTTCTTTTGGAGGCCGGTGAAGTGGGTTTAGCATTGAGCGACCAGGGGAGGCAGAGAGCATTGTATTCAATTGACTTACCTCCAATTTTCACAGTGTAGTCCTCGCCGACCATGCAGTTCCTGGCAGCCAGATCTCTGTGGACAAATTTGTTGGCATTTAGGTACGACATGCCGTCGGCAATTTCCCCTGCCATCTGGATCATCTTTTTGAGCGGGGGTAGGACCTGAGTGGTGGAGTTCTGGGGATGAAACGAGAGTGTAAAGAGCAAGAAAAAAACCACTGTTCAGTTAGCCACAACACCGGACACTAGGTACAGGTCAGTGAGGGATGGATGCTATGAGTGGAAATGAGCATGTGGATGTGAAAGACAGAAAGAAAAAAGGGGACGACAGGATGTGTGTATGTGTTCACACATTTGCGTGTTTGTGACGAAAGAGACAGAGTGAGTGTTTCTGTGATTGTGTTCGTCAAGAAAAGCTGCTTACTTCTTTACGAAGAGAGCGCAGGTGGCTTTTGAGGTCTCCGCGGGTCATTAGCTCCATAATCACCAGCGTTGGCTGTCCCTGAGAGACCACGCCCAGCAGCCGCACCTAAAGGAACAACAACACCACACAGGTCAGCTCAGGTATGAGCAGGCAAAAAATCCATCAAATTGTTTTGTATTTTTAAAGAGATTTAGGACATAACAAAAAAGAACTGTTTGTTTTACAATGAAAATCACAGTTGAAAATATAATCAAAACAGTACAGTGCATCTTAATGAATCCAAAGAAAAAAGTTGTACTTCTGTAATAAACTATTTACATCTAAAAATTATTGTTATTATAGAAGTTATCCGAATGAGCTTTCAGTGAATATCCTATCTTCTTTAATTCTTAAAAGGACATAATATCACTCAGCGCCAGTGGCGAGCCGTGACTTTTATACCTAGCTCCTATCTTCACCTCGCAGAGACGAGCTTCTTTCATTTAACCCTTCACATTCAAACAGAAACTGAATAGGCAGATTCGAAGGATTTATTTCTTTGGAAATGTTATTTTAAATACAATTAAATCAAGTTATTTTGGTAAAACTAATGCAAAATATAACTAAACAAATATTTTAAAAATATATATATATATTTAATTTTAATGTTTTTAAATATTATTTTGTAGAATATCTTAGGCCCTCAGCGCTAAAGGGAGCTTAAGAACACTTCAAATGAAGACAATAAAGATGTCTTTGCAGTATAGAAGTAAAAGCAGGAATAACTAATTGCTATGAGGTGTCGTGTAATCTCCACATTACATCTAAGGTAAGATAAACTATATTCAAAACAGTCAGTTATCATTCAAGAAAACGTCATTTCTCAGTGTGCTGCTGATGGACACGATGCTCCCACAATTCATTGCACAAAGGAAATGTAGGAGAAGCACACAGCTGGGACAAATTTAACTACAGATGGCGGTGAACCTGAATACCTCAGAAAACAATACAAATACTTTCCTGGGAAAACATTTGTCTTTCTTTCTGTGAAGTTTAACTGGAACATAGTTTGAATAATGTCCGAAGTGCATGAATGCCCATTTATTTCTTGTTAGTATTCAAGAAATTAATTAAACAGCAAGTATTTTAGGCAGACGGCTTTACCCACCATCAAAAGCACATTAACATAGGAGCAGAACATGTTCCAACTGTTCATCATTTACATTTTACATTCACATCAGTACAAAATGTTTCACTATAACTTGCTTTTAAGATCTAATCAAACACATTTGAATTCAATAATTTAGTAATAGGCAGCCAGAGTTGGTTGATAGTGAGAGCTTTCCAAAGCGAAAATCAGTTTAACATAGTTAATAAGACTTTGATCACACTGATGAGAGAATATACACACTCTCCATGAGTCTAAACCCTGCCTCAGGCTGCAGCTGCTTCAGTAAAGACGAGCACAGCGTACTGCGTGTGCCCTGCTGACACCTTTCACTCTGAATCTTACAGATTATTGAGGAAATGATGATAATGGAAAGCACTTTCAAGTGGGTTGAACATAACTGTGTTTTGGTTAAAGCCATATTATAAGGATTTATCTGCTTTTATTTCAGTCTTTTCTTGCTCAGTTGCCATTTCTAGGTCCGCTTACCACATGGTGACAGTTGAACTCCTTCATGACAGAGGCTTCGTTTAAAAACTCGATGCGCTCTCTCATGCTGGCTGTCTCGTTGACCGTTTTGATGGCGACTCGTGTCTCTGGATCGTCTTTGACCACTCCCTTGGCGAGGCCTTCGTACACCATGCCGAAGGAGCCCTGGCCCAGCTCTTTGAGCATTGTGATCTTCTCCCTGGCCACCTCCCACTCATCGGGGACGTACACTGGCACAACAAAGAGGACGGAACGTCAACAACCCATACACAAAGGGAAACTTAACAGTGAGAAAACTGACAAGCATATTCTTACTCTCAGCACTGAAGTACTCAGGGTTGACAGACGCATAAAGGACTCCATTTCCCAATCTGTCACTATTCCTGTTGACAAAAAGACAGCGAAGTTAGTCACCAGGCTGCTCTGATTGTGGATGGGCTGCGTAATTCTCTACTCCTTACCGCAGGGGAATGTTAATGAAAACAACAGCTATTAACTCTAATTGACATTACACTGGTCATTAAGTTTCATGAGCATAGTGAGGTAGAACAACATTATCAAGAGACTTTGTCTGGCAACGGGGAGAGCATGTTTATAAAGATACTTGCCTCTTTTTGTTCACAAAGAAGAGAATGGTGGTGAGGCAGGCAATGAAAAGCGTCACTATGATGGGAATTATTATGACCAAGTAGAACGTAACACCATCATCTCCTGCAAGACAAAACAGACAAATAATCAAAACTTAGTACAGACCTTTGTCTTATCTACTTTAACTCAGTCAACATTTCTTTCCAATATATATGTGTAAGAAATGTTGCATTACGTTTGGGCGGGGGCACGTAGAAGAACACGCTCTCCGTCCAGGAGCCGTTCCCTGCTAGTGATGTTGCGCGCACTTGAGCGGAGTAATTCCCCGAGCCCAGGTTGGTCAGCCGAGCTCCTCTGTTCTCCCGGTACTGCTGCCGAGACACACACTCGTGTTTCTCAGGCTGAAAGGAAACACGCATGGTGGTTACTGTTTGAAATACAGTGAGCCTTCAAGGTCAATAGTCAGGTTCAGGTATAGAGTGTAAAACTAAGTATTTGGCATTCTGTTTAGAAAAATAACCAAAACAGTTCTGGACAGTATGGACATCAGATCTATCCTTCTCCTGAAAATTGGGTTATGCCTGTTCATTGTGCTAAATAAGGCAGAGTTTGACACTATATGACCATTATGACATTCATCTGCTGAACGCAGAAAATATCTTTGTGGTAATGTGCTGTGATGCTGATACTTCTTCAAACTTGTCTGAGGGGCTCTTTAGTTAAACCCAGCCTGGCTCACCTCAGTCCCCGGCCGAAACTTGATCTCATACATCAGGATGAGTCCGTTGGGCATGAGAGGCTCCGGCCAGCGCAGCACCACACAACCCTCAATCTTATCACTCCTCTCATAGATCACCTTTCCAGGGATGTCATCTGCTTTGACTGGGAGACACACACACACACACACACACATCATTACAGCATGCATGTGTCTACAATGCACCAAAAGAGAACTTCTTACAGCATTTCTTAAACCAGGGGTTTTCAAAGTGTGGGAAGGTGAGCCTCCCCTCAGAGAACATAAGAACAGCAGAGCCCCCCCTCCCAATTATTATTGCTATTATTATTATTATTATTGTTGTTGTTGCTATAATGCAGGGGTATTCAATTGCATTTCAAAGAGGTCCAGTAAGAGAACATGTCATTAAATGCTCTGCACGCCATTTGAAATTACTCCGACTGTTTCTCTCCTCTTGTCTCGTCTCTGTGTGTGTGCTTGAATCTACCGTGCTGGCTCACTGACTGCACCGATTTGATTGGCTGAGTAGTGTCACCTCCTTAAAACATTAAACAATAGCTTTTTTAAACCTTTTTATCTTTACGTTTTAAATTATTTTTAAAAACATTTTCAACATCGTGGATAAATCCTTATATGCTCCCGGCAACACACTGAACGTCAACTTTGCCTCCTTATTACACTCACCCCTACTTTAGTGGGAACAATGAGTCTGTGTCTTTAATGCGCACAGGCGGATGATGCAGGGATGCAATGTAGACAGGAATAAACGCAGATCATCCTCTGGCTGCAGCCTTGACCGGTACTTGCTTTTGATCAAAGTAAGTGGCCTATAATTACAATTTAAATAAAGGGCGGTGCCGGCCGTCAGCGAACCGAGCCGGCCGTCAACGGCCCGCTGACGACCGGCCGTTCTGTGATTCTCCAGAACACACAGATGGCCAGTCCGCCCCTGCCAGGACCGGTCCATGAAAATCCTAGCTTCAAATAATCGTGGTCATACTTCCTCCGTTTTCTGCCAGACGCTGTCTCCTCTCTCACTTTAGGTAACTTCACTAAAAATCGATCCATGTTGCTGCTCGCATAAAGTTAGCTGAAGTTAACTAGCTAGATTTCACTGTTTCTCGTAATTTGTTTCTCCCGCTGCGCCTCCTGAAGCTCTCTGGCGCCCCCCCCCGGGGAGAAAACCGCTGTCTTAAACCATAGATCATATCAAGGTCACTACCTGCCGGTTTGGTCCTGGCGAAGACGAAGGCCCCTGCACTGCAGCGGCCCACCTCCTCGTTGCATGCATGGATGTCGATGCGGTAGACGGTGAAGGGCCGCAGGGTGGGGATGTCTAAAGATTCTGCTGCGCTCTTTTCCTCCGAGAAGGGGTACTCCCTGATAGGAGGAATCCCATCTGTACTGTTATCTCCAGGACCAAAGGTGGTGTTCCCCCTACCATAACCGTCAGGCATCAGTGTGTTGTTAGCAAAGCCAAAAATATCCCTGCGCCGACGATCTGGAGGTCTGAAATACAGAAGAGGCAACTGCTGTAAGAAAGCTGAATTTGTGAGCGCCGTTATCACAATAAAAGGATTTACAGGACGTCCAGGAAATCATTTCATAACGAATAATTGCAGGTTTATATCTCCCAAATGTATTTTAACAAGGCTGAAGCATCTTGCTTAACTGGGATTTAATGTGTGTGTGTGTGTGTGTGTGTGTGTGTGTGTGTGTGTGTGTGTGTGTGTGTGTGTGTGTGTGTGTGTGCGCCATGTGTGTGGATGCTGCATATGACTCCCTGTGGAGCTGTGTGGGAGGAAGAGGTCAGACAGATCGTAGCAAGGTGCACAGAGAGAGAAACATAAAAAGACAGACGCATAGATGTTTCAGTTAGAAAAAAATAAAATGTCTCTCCAACAAATCCAAGTAGAAAAAACTTAGAAAAGCTGACCTGACATTTGGAAACAAACTTTTCAATCGTAAAGACCAATGTTTAGTGGCCAAACTGAGGGCATTGCTGTGAATTAACTAGCGCACAGTTTGCCTACAGTCGTTACCTGTGAAACTTCCAGGGTTATTCTGCTCAGACTGACAGACAAAGGGAAGAGTCCTGACTGATGGAGTTAGAGGATAAAAGCTGTATTGACAGCAGGTGACAACAGGTATCTGTAGAGAGCTGCTGCAGGGTGATAAATGTTCAGGGGTAGTTTGTAAACGTAATGAGGACAGCATGAACAGATGGCTACGTCTGTATTACAGCATATGAAACAGATCAGACATGATTCAAACGGTATACTGGAAATAAGGGCTGCAACCAACAATCATTTATATTTTTGATCCATAAGACGGTTTGTTTTTGATTAACTGTTTAGTCCATAAAATGTGAATTGTGTCCATCACAATTTCCTATAGCAAAATAAGTAACGTAAAAAGTGCCTTTTTTGAGTGACAAACACTCCAAAATCTAGCTATACTCATCACAATTTAGAGTATAATAATAATAATTTTTCAAAATAGCTTGTATTTTCTTTTTCTTTTGATTATTGAATGGTTTCATCTCTACCAGAAGTTATAAATCACTAAACTCAGTGACTTGTCTGAGCAAAGTTACAGTGAGGCATCTGTTGTGAGCAGATACACACACGAGGAGTGTACAGACAGACAGATCCGTGGGAAAGACCTGTCGCACCGACATGTCAACATTCTTCTCCGACAGGTATAACGGGAGCGTTATGATCCAAAGTCCAGCACTCAAAAACTTCTACTGTTACTACTGGAAAACACATCGTAGATATAGGAAAACTGACAGGAGAGTTGTGTGCTGACAGATGCAGATTTGTGATAAAACAAGTGGACGAGAGTTGGATAGACTCAACTTAGAGGCCAGATGAAAGACAACTTGAGGGATCCAGTTTTGGGATTTTTAATGAGAGTGTTGGGTTAAGCAGGGCAGTCCTAACTCCGTGAGAAGAGTCCCCAGCTGACTGAAGCATGACCTTATAACTAGTGAGTTACTACACTTAGTGTCCTGACCTCGCCTGCTAAAAAAAGAACCACCTTTATACAATGGAATCCGGAGAGGAAAAACGTGACTACACATCCAGTCGGTGGCAAGTAGAGCATTAGCGCTTGGTCCGCAAAATCTCTGGCTGCAACGGAAAAATTGGAAACCTCCTGTGAGACCTCTTATATGTGTGAATCATTAGTTTCCTCAGCAACAGTTACAGTAAAGAAATGCTGCTGATAAGAGGTTTTGGTGTCCTCAGACAGTGGGAGCCACCCTCCCTCTCCTCCACTAAATCAGTCTGCTTCCCTACTTTCTGTTTGTCTTCAGTCGCTGATGGGGCTCTTCCCTCATTCATTTGAATTCCAGATGGATTCACTGTACATTTCCTGGCAGCTGTCTGCCTCCATAAAAAAAAAGAAGGAGAAAAAAACAAGTCCCGGACAAAGAGAGCATACGAGGGGAGGAGGAGAGTGGAGTGCCGGGTGGAGGGAGACAGAATGGAAAACATTTCCTATTCTTTCTGTTTCTCTTTTCACCCGCCCTCTCTCCCCTCACCCCGGGTCTAAACCCTGAACTTTTATAAAAACCTTAAGAGATTTTCGAGCCCTTTCCCTGGAGTGTTCTGTAATAATGCTGGCTCTGTTTCAGTGGAGCGTCTGTAAGCACAGGCCCCGGACCTGCCATCCACTTGTTTCCTAGACAGCTATACTATAGCAAATCAACACAGCCAGAGAGAGAAGGGTGGGGGGCGGGGGGGTATTAGTTCAATTACAACAGAATGCTGCTTTATTATTCTTCCCTTAAATACATATCGATCCAATTCCACAAGAGTGTTGCGAAGGAAAAGAGAAGGGCACCTTACGCTGTTTGAATGAATTAACTTTGTGAGGCTCAGAGGCATCGTTTAAAGCTATGGATTTATAAGGTACCTGCTGAGTGTGGGTTTGTTGGGAACAACAAGTATATCAAGAGTCTCCCTATTTCTCCTTGAAGGATGCTTGAAAATAAGTGTTATGGCACCAATTCACAAATGCATAGATTGTGTGCCACTGCCTTCATGAGAATAAAGGAGTGTGGGAGGAGAACGGAGCTGGAGTCTTTGAAACACTGAAACATCCTTAGCCACGAGCAAGTTAAATGATAACACAACACAGATGTCACTCCCTATTGTGGGGAACAAAAGCCTGAGCAGCTCGGAGTGTGCAGCCAAACTAGGCCCTTCAGACTCCTTAATCACATCTCTCTCCTGGGTTTGTTTGTGTTGCCTAAATTGCTGCCTGCTAGGTCCTTACATCCCCCGTGCCACCGTTGCCACGGCTACATAAAGCCACAAGAGCGCTAAGAAGGCTTTGGATCCTACTCAGCATGTCTCCTCATCGGCAACGCCCGACAAAAGGGCCCCCCGTCAGGTCCATCTACGCTGCCATGCTCGGATCCTGTCAGAGGAGATATTACACCCGGGCCGCCACCTCATCCCTCACTCTGACCCATCAGGGCAAACAAGAGCCACAAGGGCCGTAGCAGGAGCTGGAAACGGTTCACGGAGTCAATGTGAAGCCCTCCACTATTCCAACCACATATATGTTTTACTATACCTCGGCAGAAAGATTGCATTGTGAAGGAAGTTCTCAAAAATCTTGAAAAAGACTCGGTCATCCTTCTCCCGGTCTTTCTCCTCGGGCGTCTTCTGGCAGGCGCAGCACGGGCCCTTCTCCCCCCCTGCCAGATCGGATTTGGTGGGCTTGGTGCTGTCGTCCATGTCGATGTTCCCCGTGGCCGGGATACGGATCGGAACCTTCAGCTCTGTTTTAGGAGAAACCAAGAGTGATTAGCAAAGGGACAGATTCTGCATCTACTTATAATAATATTATATATTAATTGAATTGTAACATTTACTTCCTTTTTGAGAGTAAGATAAGAACATGTATACCCCCTTATATAAAGCTACAGCAAGCAGCTTGTTAAATTAGCTCACTAATAAACATTATATCTTGCTTAGCATCATTTAAACCCTTTTTCATGTCTCTGCTAAGCTAGGCTAAATACCTGTTGGTTATAACTTCATATCTGTTTATGAAGTCTTGGCAAAAAAGCAATAAACGCATCTCTCAGAAAGTCTGACTATTTTTGTGAGGAGAGGACATATCAGTAGGAAAAGCTAAGACAATAAAACAATGTTAATATTTGCATAGAATGAGTAATGCACACCTTTGGAGCAGTAGTTGTGTTGGTAGAGCTCCCTGTCCTCCGGCTGCTGCTGCCAGCGGACCAGGTAGAAGGTCAGATTTCCGTTGGGAAAGGCTGGAGGGGACCACTTCACCATCAGCCTGGTGGAGGAGTTGGCAAAAGCCCGGGGCTCTTTGGGCATAGACGGCACTGCAATAGGGCAAAAGTTAGGATATGTTACATTAAAACGTTTTAACTGACAAAGTTGCAATGCAATCACTAATATTCACGACAAAATTAGAAATAATCAACATTTATATCAGCAGCTTTGCAGACTTACGCGATGGGCGTGTGCGAATGTAGATGATATCACTTTTTGCCCCTGTAACGTGTTTGTCCTCCACCTGCAGGGTAATGGCCTTCACAAAAATAGCATACTGGGTCCAGGGCTTGAGGTTTGGAAGACTGACTTTCGGGTAAACGTCTGACTCCTGAGGGAAATCCACATCCACCATGTGCCAGCTGTTTAAACCACAGCCATCCTGCCCGTCAAACTCTGTGATGTTCTGGAAAGGCCTGATAAAGACACAACAAATATCTGTGCATTAGCAAAACATGATCTACTAACAGAAGTGAGGTAAAATACCTTCTAGGTCATGTCCTAAGATATTAATTACTTTCCCCTCAACTATTTAAAAAAGCATACAATACATCTACTGATAACTGTTTCAAAGCAGACATTAGTTTTGCTTTGTGCAAGTTCAATGAGAAAATAAGACCCAGGTAATCAAAACCAGATATCAAACAATAAGCAGACGTGGATGTTTTGAACATATGATGTTTTGTTTGTATTACATTAGAGACATTCTTCTGTTTGTCAGTGGCCCAAAGGCAGGAAATCAACGTGAATGCTTCAATATTGTCTTTGTAAAATGATTGCGAGTAATGTGAAGTAAACATAGTTAGAAATGATTGCAGTAAATATACAAATCAGACAGGTATGATCATCTAAGATTTATTTTCCCGGAAAATAGCTTTGATTTTAAGCTGAATCCTGTGTTTGAAAATGAAAGTTCTGAATTGATGTCCAAAATATTTTTGTAGTATCCAGGACAGAAACTCATTGACATTTTGTGTTCCTTCTCAATACTCACGACTCTTTGTAGTAGACTATGAAGCTGATGAGGTCGTATTCCGGCGGCCGGTAGCGCTCCCATGTCAGCGTGATATTATGACTTGCTGTGATGTTCGACTTGAACTTCAGGATATAGCTTTCACCTGTTGTGACACAGCAGAACTCACAATGAGACACACAATATCAAAACAACATATCACTGCTTCTTTCCATCCCCACACATCGATCAGTCACTACAAAAATGTAGAATCTTTATGTCAAAGTTTATGTGAAGTTACTCACAGCTGGCTCTTTCTCCGTTGTTACGGAAATCTCCCTCCTCTGGCTTCACTGCAATGCCCGTCTTCTCCCACATCTTGTGGATCTCAGACATGCAGAGTTTTGGGTTACGACGGAAGAAAAGACGTCCGTTTTCAATAGTCAGGTTGTGCTGATTCCAGTCCCACAGGTACTGCAGGTGCTGGTTGTTGATGGCTGAGAACGCATACATGCTGATAATGGAAGGAGAATAAGAGAAGGTTACAACCATCTCATATAGACCAACAAAAGCATGAGATATCAGGGAAGCTGAAGACATTTGGGTGAAAAAAGCCTTCTTTTGCCACCTGGTGGCAGCGTTAAGCAGTCAAATAGGTGTCACATGAGGTCAGGTCTGTGTCTTGACACCGAGCCTGGGTTTGTTCAGAGGACATGAAACAGAAAGAGTGGCGTGTTAACACTCTGAGCTCCGACAGCCGGTAACGCAGTGGAACACCTCCAGAGCGAGAGGAATGTCTGCCATCCTCAACAGCATTCCTCTGAGTGAAACGTTATCCAAGGAGAAGCTACGACAAGAAGGGCGACAGGGTTTCCCATGACCCCTTTGGCCATTATAAAAAACAAACATTCCCTCCTATCTCAGACTGCTACTGATAACAGTTTGAAGGACATGAGACTTTACATTTTGCTTTGTAGCAACACTCACTTCTGAGGCCTGTCTGACTATCATGTATGAAGTTATACTGCAAGAAGACTACTTATTTATATTTATGAATGTACATCAATGTAGAAATCGAGCACTTTTACATTTATGTAACGTCAATGATATGTCGGTGCCAGCCTCCCTGCTCATGTCCTCCGATTCCTTCAGTCATCGCTCAGAAGCATGCTTACAAATTCACAGACGAAAAGTGCAGACAAACACAACATACTTGTCGATGAGTTCCTGCCCATTGATTAAACGCAGACTCTTGAGAAAGGATAGCGAGCCAAGTGCGTGGGAGTGTCGAATCTTCACATAGCCCGTCACTGTCTGAATCAGCCCCATGAAGCTCTCCAGCTCAGACGCTATGTTATCTGGGGACAGGGGATGAACACACACACACACACACACACACACACACACACAGATGAACAACATCATTTAAAAGCCACTTTAAAACAATTCTCGAGGGATCTCTTCTAGTTCCATGACACAGAGACACGCTCTTAATGCAAATAACCCAGCACTTAGTTGCTTTATCATATGTGGAGATTAGCTTGTGAGCCACCCTGTCAACTGAGCAAATAAACAGCATTAAAACATAATGTGATAATTGGGTTGAGTGCAGGAAGCAGATGTAATGTTGATTTTGTGGCCCTCACTATGAATCCCAGCAGCTTAGGCCATCAGGCCCTTATCTGTCTCAGTAATCATAACATTTGCTGTGCAGTCAAGTGCAACACAGTGTAGTAAAGCAAGTATACTGTAGTCAATAAACAATTGCAATAGAGTAAATGGCAACAGATTGTAGTCACATTAAATATTCTATGTGCTCATAGTGTAATATTGCTTATTAAGCTTAGTTACACTGCAGCCTTTACATTAAATGTGGTGTTTAAAAGCACTTCTGCAGAGCTGCACTCACTTCCACGTCGGATGTTGATGTCCAGGTTGCCTTCGATGACGGTGCAGTCCTTCAGAGACTGAGCAGCATCCACAGAGTCGATGACGGAGGATGTGCAGGGCTTATCACACGGGCCATTGCAGGCATTGCATAACATTCTATTTACAGCAGAAGCAGAGAAAAGGAGGGAATGCGAGACATGGGGAGAAAAAAAGGAATAACTGTCAGAGAATGAGCAAAATCCTATGTGAACTTTTCTTCCTCACCCTGAAGTCATTTGTCCACTCCCTGCCTCCCAAGCATTCCGAAGGATTCAGGCAAATACATTCACTGTATAATACAAGGTCATCTCCAGAGTTTAATTTTTGATGGGCCCTCATCTGAACTCTGTTTCGTGAGAGAGTGACTCACTGTATTGACTTCAGAGACAAAACAGCAGTGGTATGGCCAAAAAACATACAGCAGAGAGTGTTCATGACTGTTAGGGAACTGACAAGAAGGATCAGGGAGGATAGCTGCTTACAGATAAGCGTTCTTGTTCTAGGTGAATGTCAAACAAAGGAAGTCTCTTTCAAAGACCTTTGAGTATTGCTATATAACATCTAATAGTGGTGAGTAAAAAGAAGACACTTTGTTGAGCAACTTTCCCTCTTCCTAAACACAGTGGGAAGTCTAAACTTGAGTCATAAATAATCCAACATACTCTTAACCTTTAGCACTTCAAGCTCAGAGCTCTTGTTTATGAAAGGAACCTGTGAAGAGCCAGGTGAAGTTTATCTCAAGGATATTTTATTCAAATGATCTCATTATGCAAAAGTACTTCAGTGGCTGCGATTGACGAAAACCACACTGCTAATTCTAAGAGCTCTGGCTTTCTGTGTGAAAGGTTAGGAGCCCAAACAAATTCAAACACAGAACATTAACCTACTCATCTTAGACATAATGTATATTTTCTTAAGGAGTTCTTACTAATGTGTTGTACATTCAGTTTGTCACCTGGCATGGCATTTCCATATCACCAGGACCTAAAGTAGAAGTGAAGGGTAAGTCTTTACCGATTAGTCTCGTTGCGGGTGAAGCCAGAGGGGCAGTCAGGCGTACATTCTCCCCCGTGGATGACAAAGTTAGGGTCTCCGGTCAGGTGGACTTGGGAGCAAAAGTCCATGCTGATGCAGCGCCAGCCCTCAAACTTGTAAGTGTCTGGGGGACAGTCCGGCACGCAGTGACCCTCGTGATAGTAGTGGAGGCAGCCGGAGCAGGCCGTGTCGTTGTTGGGTTCAGTGCAGCTGCCGAGGCACTGGCTGTGGCAACACTCCTCCCTGTCTGTGCACGACAGCTTGCAGTTCTCCGGGCATACTGGAGGAGACAGAGAAAGATGGGGAAGAGGTCAGTTTTTAGGCTAGGTGTAAACAGTCTGCACTGCTGGCCGATATTTTAACAGAGTCAAGGATGATAACGGTAAAAAAGTTAAAACTAATGCTTTCAAAGCACAGATTGTGATTTATAGGGCAGTAAACACGTTGAATGGCTTTTTGTGGCATCTTTAAATGTATCTGCTTAGTAATGAGCCAGGAAGTAATACATAGGTGAAAAGGGAGTATGGAGCCAGTTTTCATACACAGTATGGATTATGTAAAGGAAACACAAAGCCTAAAACATATACAGTCTTATAACAGTTCTGCCTTAAGTCCTACCTTAATACATGTTGATTAAACATACAAAGAGGTGGGGTTTTTTTAATACAATTGACCAACACAACAAACTACATCCTGTTAAATCATCAAGTTCATAAATGTAGACCATACAGTTATACAATAGTAGACCATAGTATCATCTTTCTTTTGAAAAGAAAATCCTGGTAGTATATTTATATGAACGTATTTCCTCTCCTTTTTAAACCAAATCTGCAACCAAAAACACAGTGTACCATTTGTCATGAATATTCTTCTATAATGGAAGAAAAGACAAATGCAGCTGGAACAAAATCCCACTATCACTACAGCTTCTAAGAAGAAACTTCTGTTAATCCTGGCAGGCAATATTGTGTGAGGTGTTTAAAACTAAGCTTGAGCACAATGAATAATAGAAGCTTGTTGTTTTACTCAGAATCACTGAGAAACTAAACCAAAACAATATGTTAGTAATGACATCCGGCATTTTTCAGTTTCTCTGAACACGCTTTTGGCGGATTGTGAATCCTAACAGTTTGTCAGATTGATTGAACAGAGCTTACAAAATGACCATTCATATATCAACGTTTAACGTTTGAAATATTTCAAAACACAAACTTTGACAGAGAAAGGATAAAAGTTACTTATTCAAAGTAAAAATAAACTCAGTTCTGTGAGTGAATTCACCATCTACTTGTGATAATCGCATCGACTTAAATTAACAGTAAAGGAGAGGAAAATTGGTAAATAAGATGTCTATTTTCAAGGTTCAAAAGCATTTTCACTGTAGCCTATTTAAAGAGAAGCACTTTTGGAAACCACATGTAAAGTGTGGAAAGCAAATGATTCCCACTGCTAGATAAGCTGGCATTAGCCGCACTACAGGCAGGGGTGTCCTACTTTAAGATGAGTCCACCCCATAGAAAAACACATAGAGAGTGGAGTGTGTATGTGTATGTGTATGTGTATGTGTATGTGTGTGTGTGTGTGTGTGTGTGTGTGTGTGTGTGTGTGTGTGTGTGTGTAATTGTACACATGTTTATAAGTTCTGGTGTAAAGGTGCTTCCTGCTAATGATTGTCCACTGTCACATAAAGGGCTGGTTTGGACTGAGTCAATTGTCAGCCTTCTTTGGGGTAAATGTGTAACAGATACAAAATATATAATGTATTTTTTTTTTAAATATGTTTTGCATATTTGAATTGTGCAGGCAGCAAAGTCTTGTTTCCTTAGCAACCGCCACCTGGTGCAAAGCACAGGCATGAAGGAAATGTGCACACACTCAAAACTACAATACAACAAACATTTCACCACTTTCATGTGTGTTAAAACAATTTGCAAGACGGAGACACTTCACATATTACTTCATTGGTGTCATTATTTGAGCAATCCCTGTAACAGATACCTTTACAGGAGTCAAAATATTGAGTGTGCATGTGTGTGTAAACTGTGTGCCCATGCATATTGGTATGTAAATATAAGTGTGTGCCAGAAAGCTAAGAATAAATAAGTACTGCGCTTGTTTATTTGCTTTAAAATTAAAAGTCGCTGTGGGAGCCTCGGTGGTTCTCTTTGTGAAGAAAGTGAAGCCGGCTGCTGGGCTAATCTCTTGATGAATATTTCATGTTTTACAAAAACATCTGTGCAGGTTAAGAACGTGACGGTGCACTACAGTAATGCTGCAGAGTAAACACCACAGAGCCAGCCCCAGTTTAGCTTCACAGGGGAAGGAATATAATCATCACTACTGACAGTTTCTCAAATGCTTGCCATTCTTTCTCATATTCAGTCAAATCTAATAGTTCAGAAGAGGTGAAATGGTCTGTTAGAAAACATTTTTAAAACAACTAAACATATTCAGTGGACCGGATACAATATATTTACAGTATAATACACTGCAGTAACTCAGTAATATTCAATTATTGTCTCCTGATAAGACAGATCTTGAGATTACACGGCAGTTTCTGCAGTGAGCGTATTTTCAATATGACTTGAGTTAGTAGAGCATTCAGCTATATGGCTTTTCCTATGCATTGTATAGCTTCCCACTCACAATACGTACAAGCTCTGCCACACCAGGAGTTTACTGGCTCTGCGGTATTCATAAGTACTGCATCCAAGTATTCTGAATCTACTCCAAAGCAAACAAACGATTTTTTTGTTATCTAAAGCATCAAACACATCACACACAGGTTCACACATGACAGCTGTGATTTGATAGGAAATATGATGTCAACTTTAGTGTGTTTAAAGCAGGCAGATCAGTGTTGCACATGTGCAGAGTGAGAGAAAAAGGGAATCATCAGAGAGGCGTCGTTTTTCTTGGAATCCAACCAAAAGGGGGCAGCCAAAGCAAACTCTAACAAGCCTTATTGGAGGAGGACCCTTTCTTTCTGCATCATTTTAACAGATTCCTCAATGAAGAGAAATTCCAAACATGCATACCTTCCACAAGAAGAAAGTGGAGGGAGGGGGAGTTGCTGACTTAAATCCATATAAGTCTTTACCCGGTTTCACTGTGTGACCAAACAACCCGTGGTATCAAGGATACAATCCTCTATTAATAGATACTACTAATGCGGCCCTATTTCCACACTGCTGCGCTCTACACATAGCTATGCAGGGCATTGTGGGTTTCCACTAGTTCAAAGGAAAGGGACTACCTAACAAGGGGCTTGTCTTATCATCTTTGCAGTCCCCCGAGTGGATGTTTGATATGAGCAGGATTAAATTAGAATCATCACTTGACCTTAAGTAGACACTGTGTTACATTAATAAGAAATTGAACCCCCCTGCCAACAACCAGCCTTTTCCTAATCTAGCAGTGTCATACACTACACAGCAGTCAGCACTGAAGAGGCTCCTGAGCAGCCTGTGAATCCCTACAACCCCAAAGAAGAGCCATCATGGACAGGCTGAGAGACAAGGACTGTGCACGGTTTGTTTTTTGTTCTAAAAGGTATTCTGTGGTCGCTTCACTATGTAAAGAATCTGCAGAATGTTTCAGGCCGCAGAGGATTCAAAGGAGGGAATGTTAATCCCTTGTTCCGCTGCAACAACACAATGGCAGCGCAAGGCAATGCTAAGGAAACTTGAGATGAGGAGGCTATTTTGGAAACAAACATTATAATGGAGGTGTAATAAAAGATGCAAAATGAAGAAACATTTAACTGAGATTTCAAAATGATAACAACATTCAAGGATGTAAGTGCCAATTACCGACCAACAAAACAAACAAAAACATAAGACTGCAGTAGAGCAAAAGAGGCAGAAAGCATCAAATGTCTTCCTCCGCCAGGTTTGCCTTCTTGAAGCGCAGCATACGAGGGGGATTCAGGGTCATGTGACCCAACAGAAACCATTCTCCACCCCTCCTCTTTCCCCACAATGTGTGTGGTGAAAAAAAGCTGCTGCAATCTGATAACAACATGGCTGGATTTCAACACTGTCTGACTGGAGAAGGGGGGGGGTGTGTGTGTGTGTGTGTGTGGTGTGTGTGTGTGTGTGTGTGTGTGTGTGTGTGTGTGTGTGTGTGTGTGTGTGTGTGTGTGTGTGTGTGTGTGTGTGTGTGTGTGTGTGTTAGGTGAAGGGGCTCAAAAATGCATTACTCTATTGAATAAGGACGTCGGAGAGGAAGAGGATTGCAGTGCTCCCATTTAGATGCACGTCGTGCCCTGTTTGCTGGAGAGCACGCTGTGTCAGTGACTACTACACTGTTTACATTGGGAGGCTGGCGACATTTTTACTGCCAACACCACTCCGCCACCTTTGAAGACGAAGTATTGGGTGAAAATATAAAGCATTTGGTAAACTGGTGTCATTTTCCTAAACCAATCATAGTTGGCAGCCGAAGTAAAAACAAAGAAAAAATATCCAATAAAAGATGAAACATTTCCTTTTTCATAACATATCAAAGAGCAGTATATTTTCCCTGCGTCATTGGCGATAAGTAGGAAGCGTGACAGACAGTTGGGAAATCATTCATTATTCACAGTGGGGCAGGAGGGGAGGGGCGGCAGGGAGGAGGGTGTCTGGGAGGAGGAGGGCGGGTTAGACTGGGAGATATCTGCTGGACCAATAGCAGGTAGGAAGGGGAGGTGCTAATCCTGATGATTGACATGTTATTGAGTCTGGAGCAGAGATGGTAAACAAGTCCTCTCTTGAGCTGACGTTTGGAGGGGGAGTCGTCGCCATAGTGACTAAGCATGGCTTTTCCACAGTTTCGGAGAAACCATAAGTTAAGGAAAAAACCCGAACATACGCAGCCTACTCGACAACAAGCATTAGTACGATTATTTCGGTAAATTGGTCTGCCCCTTAACTGGAGCGTAAGCTAAATACAAAACGTGACGGGCAGGCTGGGATGAAACAGAAAGGTATTTACTGTAGTAGAGTGTATTTCAAATGAGTGATTATAAATGTTGTTGAGAAACAAAAGCCGCCTGTCCTTGCTCCACAATGTAAACGGGGCCATAGCTCTATTAGGACATGATTACATTTATCTCGACATCACCTCCATTTACTGAAGTATTCACTCTACTGCACACTATAGTAATATGCTGCACCGTGGGGATGTGAAGCTTCCCACTCTGTGCAGAGTCAGGCCGAGGAGCTCAGGTTACCAGAGCTGAGAGCAGCAGCACGCAGTAAGGTAGCAGCGCCGGAGCACGGTAGAAGACAGAAGGCC